AGGAGTAGAGAGAGAGAGAGAGAGAGAGAGAGAGAGAGAGAGAGAGAGAGAGAGAGAGAGAGAGCACAACAAAGCTGCACCCAACAGATAGGAAAGAAGCAGAACTTTCAAGGGGCCTCCCAGAACTGCATATTGTACTCGACTTTTTAAAAATACAAACAAGATACAAATCAAGAAGAAATAAATACACAGTACATTTAGTAAAGATAGATATCTACTCGGCAAGAGGACTAAAAACTGGACAAAAACTAAAAACATACCTGGAATGGACGCTGGTGTGTTTGATCGAGACCCTGTCGAGCCCACAGGGGAGGGGGCGGGGCGGGGGCCACCGGTGGAACCTCGAGAGTTTTCACCGCTGATATCGTCTGGATTGTTTGGCTCCTGGAGAGGACAAAAAAGAAGAAAAAAATAGTGAACAATCGTGAATGAAGGGTTCAAAGGTACTGAAAGATCTTAAATTTAATACGTGTACATTATATGTACTTACAATTACGTACATGATGTTTAGTTATAGAAGAGGTTTTACGGCGCTCGCAACTGCATAAGGTCATATCAAATGAGCGCCAGAAGATTAGAGGTGTTACAAGAGACAGAGTAACAAACATAAAAAGAAGAAGGGGAGATAAGGACGATAGACCTGAGCACCCGCCAACCACCCACACGTACATGATGTAAGTTGGTGTTGGGTAATAAAGAGCAAAGAAGCAGCAAGGGGGAAATGTGTGGCTTTGTTTGCAGTCAAAAAGTACAAATTCAATTGTGGTGAAAAAATTTTTTTAAAGTAGAGTAAATTACGGTGACGTTTCAGTGGCCTGTTTCGGGCTTTCAGAAAAATATCCTGTTCTGGCGGGAGTGGCGCCTGAGACAAAACACCGAGACCGTACTTTCTGAGTTCAATTCCACTTCAGCTTTTCAGATAACCAACCACACGGGGATATTACCTGTAAGAAATGGGTATTTCTATTTTATTGTATTTATTTGTTTGCTTTTCTTGGGGGGGGGGGGGGTTGTTGTGATTATTTGTTGTTTGTTTTTGTAGTTTTGTTTTTTTGTAGTTTAGTTCTAGTAAGTGTTTTACGGCACCTGCAACACAATAAGGTCATATAAGTGCCGAAGATTAGAGGTGATACAAGAGAGTAACAAACACAAAAAAGAAGAAGGGGAGATAAAGACGATAGATATTTAATAGGAAAGAAGAAACAAAACCACACCAAAGCACCCGCCAACCACCCACGTTGTTTTCTTTGTATTCTACACAATATCACCCTCTAAACCACCAGCATTTCACTTGGAACGAGCACCAAGGAACTTGGACAAACAGTAACGTCGATAAACAACTCACACGGAGACCCACACCTGAGGTACGTCGTGCAAGTGTACAGTAAGCGACAAGTCCTCTCCCGTGCTAGGACGAGATAAAGAGCCGCCGCAGCCTAGCAAAGAAGTGGTATAACCAGTCACACTTGGCAAATACCTTAGCGACTCGACAAAGTTTCTTATCGGCCAAAGTGGACCAAAGTACATGTATAATGCTCTTATGAGTAACCTGTGAAGCCGCGGTCGCCGAGATAGCCTGGGAGACAAGACAATAGCAGAGACCAGAGCACCAGTGGGAAACAGCAATATGTACCTCTTTCATTACGTTATTTCCTTTCGTCTCTCTCCCCCCCCCCCCCCCCCTTCTCTCTCTCTCCCTCTCTCTCTCTCTCTCTCTCTCTCTCTCTCTCTCTCTCTCTCTCTCTCTCTCCTTTGAGAGAGAGAGAGAGACAACAAAGGGCGAAAGAGAAAGAAAGAAAGAGACAGACAGAAAGAAAGTGAGAGAGAGAGAGAAAGAGAGAGAGAGAGAGGGAGGGAGGGAGGGAGAGAGAGATATGGAGAGAGATTGTGTCTGCCTGTCTCTCTATCAAACATAAAACTAAAAACACTCCACCTCTTAATAAATTACGCCTTCTGTTGGGATTTTTCTTCCTCATCTGTTGCAGTTGCGTCATGAACAGCGAATCCACAAGGCCATGAGCACACTTCAAACGATACAGACAAAGCCAATAGAACCAGACAACATCAATAGAACCACACGACAGAAAGCACAAGAGACCACCAAAAACAAAACTTAAAAAAAAAACCCAACAGCTAACCAACCAGTCCTACCCTTCTTCCTTTTATTATACGGACAATGTACTCCCTGTGACCCGTCGTCTGTCAACGGTCTGTTGCTCCAATTGTAAAATACCGAAACCTATGTCGGGGAGAGGGTGGGTGATTGGATTCTTTTCCGGGATGTCTACAACAGGGTTCAGGCAATCTTCTAGATCTGCTGCTCGTTTTATTCACGTCTAATGGATTCGAGTAAAAAAAAAGCAGACCCAAATCCCACCCTTAACTCCTGACAGTATTACCCAAATCTAGCATATGTGAATAAAATGTGCAGATCTGGATGATTGCCCGGGTACAAGTACATGTGTACATGTATTTATTTATTACTTTTTGTAGGAAGGGTGTGTCCCTTTCCTCAAAGATTCGATACGGTTCGTTTACTCTCCATTGATTTCCAACTCCTATTCCGCGAACCTGCATCTCAGCAGTACAACAGCTGGTAGTATTGGGTATAGAGTAGCCTCTTTGTTTTTTGTTTGGAATTTTTTAAAACAAGATTGAGGTTATTGTTTATTTCGTATTGTCTCATAGCACGAAATTAAAAACACAATGTGATTAAACGCAAAAAGGAAATCGCTTCGTCTGATTCATTAGGGAGGGGTGTTTTTTTCTTTCAAAACTCTTTAAAATGCTGGAATCACCTTTTAATTGACACTGAGTTATGAGGTCACATTGAAAAAACACACTCTTCGTTATGCTTTTTATCCGAGCATTAATTGTTTGTTTGATTGAGAAAAGACAAACACACCCACACAAAAATAGTCATTTAGGGCCCGGAAAATGTAAAACAAGGCACACAGAAACAACCAAGGGAAAGTAAATAAGAAGGACCTACCACTGTTCATCACACAATTTAAAAACCCCACCAAAACAAAGAAAAACAACCTATAAAAAGACAAACATTATGTTAACCTTTTGTGAACAGAAATAGCAAAGACAATAAAAACGTGAAATCAGCTTCGGCGTCGTACTCTATAAATACCCCCC